TTTGCATGTTTTGCCTTGACACCCTGTCTTTCACAATAGTTAGAAGTGGGTATTATTTACTATTTTGCTCATAATTGTTTGCATAATCATACAACATCTCATATTGTTAAATGGTTTGCTGGTTGATGCCTAATGTTGATTTGAAATAGATCTAATGGAATAAGCAAATACATTTTTAAAGTTAGTTATATCATTTAGTTGTTAAATGGTGTTATTAGTCATAAAATTGTTGATTATTTTTGATCAATTCCTTGCAAAGAAACTACAATTTCCTCTCATATTATATAGCATTATTTTAAATCCTCCCTCCCCTTTTTTCTAATTAATTTGTACTTCTCACTGGAAAATGCTGCTCCAAAGCCCARGGATAAGATAAATTCTTTTAAATTCAGAATATGATGGATTTTATTTGAAGAATTTCTTCTCTGAAGGGCCAGAAAACAATGAAATACACTCTTGTATATTACTATTTTCATAACCTTGAGTAAACCAGTACAGAATTATCAACAAATTTTATAAATACAAAATAAATTAATGTAATTAGTAATTATTTGGACAAATATCAGATACTTTATAAATAGAGRATTATTGAATGGTAGGGTTTCTAAGTTTTTTAGGACACCTTGCTGATGAGGGGTCTGGTATCTCATAAGATTTGGTAATTAATGGGTGCCCTCACACACACACACACAAACACACACATACACATTCACACACAGATACTAAGCTAGTTGGTTAAGTCAGTTATATGAACTGTTTAAGATATCCTGTACTTGAATACTGTAGACATGCTTGTGTGTTAGTTTATTTAGTATTTTAAATTATTCCTTGATTTTTCAAGAAAAAATTCCAACTTGAACATTTGATTTCTACTTTCATCATTTAAACATATATATTGCTATTGATTATTTTTATTTCTGTTATTGCATATACCTTGTAAATATGTTCAGGTTTAAATCTATTTAAATGGTAAARAGAATCTAAAGGAGTTTGTAACACAGATGTTTGATGTGCTTATGTTTTTATTTTTTATAACTATATTTTAATGTTCTCTGGCAAAGTGTATATTTCTSTAATAAGGTATTGACTAGTAACTGAAAAATGTTCTTGAAAGKAATGTAATATGTTAGTGTCCAATCTTGTAGTTTGAGTGTCCAAATTCTTAAGTCAAATGAAAGAAATATCACTGAATATGAAGTTGGGGGACAGGCCCTAGGGTGCATCTAAATACCCATATCAGAGATTTTGGGTTAATTTCATTTTTTTAAAAATGAGAAGTTAAAACTTTAGAACTTCCTTCTCATGACTCCTAAAGATTTCATAAGTTCAAAAGAAAATATAATTCAAAGATATGTGTGGGCATYATTACATGCATGCCTAGTATTTCATGGACACAGACATGTTGCACCCTCTGAAAATTCCTTTAAGGAAATGAACTTTTCGTAAATGTGATATACATATGGACAAGGAGAAAAATGGGATAACTGAGAAAAGGAAGGTAAAATGCGTTAATGACAAAGGAAGACTGGTAGGCAGTAGAAATTATTCCCCTTTTATTTCTTTTAGTCTATAGTCTAATTATTCTTATTTGAAAACTTACTGGCACCAGGTATTATCAACGGGGATGAGTAATATGTAATTTTTATCTTTACTGGGTTACATTTGGCCCACAGACAGTTGACAGCTGTCAGTCAGGTGTCTGGTCAATGAGGATATACATATAAAGTTGCCAAAACATTTTTGTTTCTTTAAATAATTACGAGTAAACTACTTTAACTGGAAGCTCCATTGTACTAAAATTAAATAGATATTTGCAACATAATTTATAAAATTAATTGCTGGAAGAATCTGGATTTTCCATATGAATACATAAAATAAACAAAACAGTTTTATATGGTGTTTTTATTTTTTTTTTGAGGCAAGAGAATGATTACTTTGCCCCCACTGCAAATAAAGTATCTTGAAGATGTGTATATGTATTGCAAATAATGCTTAAGATACATAGATTTTAAAATTCAAGTTTTATGGCAGGTATGAGTCACCATCATTTTAAGTAGAAATTTCTTAGTAAAAATTATTAAAGGAAACATTTTGATACATTGAGGGATTTGGCATGAGTATTTTTGTAACACAATGTCAAAGATYTATTAGAAAGGACAAACTCATGTTGAACAAAGATTTATGATTTCTCATAATTAAAAGAAAAAAATTATGGGATTTTAGACTGAGTCCTCAACTGATGACACAATTAAAATGTGAATTTTAATTATTTTGGATATTTGAACTATATCTAACTAACATTGTTTCTAATAGGTTCTRTTGCCCTTAAGAAATTGACAGAGTCATAAACAATAGTTTGATAGAAGCTTTTGTATTGTTTATCCTTGGTGATAATGACAAACAATGTGATAATTATAGTCAATACTAATGCACATGAAAACTTAACAAATATAATTTTGAAGTTGACCTAAGAATATAAGTTGTTCAGTTTTTCAGTAATTAGTTATCATCTCTTAAAAAAAAGTGTTCTGATTCATTTGGAAAGTAGTATCTAACACACTACAAAAAAATTTTCAAGTGCATGAAATACATACTCATTCTTTAAGAGAYTAATGAGGTTAGATAAAAACATTCAGTGACTATGGCTACTCAAGTATCCAAGTAAATATAATGAAACATGACAAAATATCACATGAAAATAACAGTTTGAAACACTATATATGTATACTTTAAAATAAAATATCTTAATTATTCAAAGTTTGTTTTACATGTAATAATTTATAATAAAAAGAAAATTTGGGTCTTAATTTTTAAAATATGAGTTCATTAAAGTGTTTGTAGATAAGWCTATATTTTTAAAATATTGAATTTTTGGCGGGTGAACCATTGTTGATTACTTTTAAATCACAAATATTTCATGATTTTAAAAAACAATTAAGCCACTTTAAAAGAGAATGATATTTATAAATTGTTGTCATATCTAAATCATTGATTTAGTTTTGTTTTAGATACAATAGTCATTAACAAAAGTCAGATTTTATTTCTTTTTCCTACTATACAAATAATGTATTAAGCATGTAGATTGGAAATTATTTATGGGATCATCAGAATAAAACAATTGTCTCATAGTCTTAGTAATTTATATTGGTAGGAGCCTTTTTCTTCTTAAGTACTAATTCTACCCCCCACAGCCCAGAAAATTGATTTTATGCATAATAATTTATAGCATTCTTGATCAATGTATGCTGTTATGTCTTTTACATTCATTAGCCCATGTTGCTTACGAATATGGAATTTAGTTATTAAAATGGTTACATATGTTTACTATGTATAGTCTCTAGCTTTGAGCTGCTTACTTGCTTAAATAAATGTTTTCAATTTGCTATAATACAACAATTTGTAGAGAAATGCTGTGAAGCATAGTTAAAAGAATGAGTCCTTGAAATAGAATCACTTTTTAAAAATATGTCCTAACATGTGGTCTCATTTTTCCATTAATTAAAATCCTATTCTGAAAAAAAATTTTTTTTTGCTTAAACTTTTGAATTTACAAAACAAAAATACCAAATATATAAATGTACTAATTTTGGATATCAATGACGTAAAAACATGCTTTAGTACTGCCTTATTTGTTTATTCAAAGACTTTCCTCTAAAACAAACTAAAAAACAAAAACTCTTTGTAAAGTAATGAGAAAATGTGATTACTTTAAAATATTAAATTATCTGTGTAATATCTTTTTAAAATGTGTTTAAATTAAATTAATTCCTTATTATCTTTAATCATATTTCTATAACATGCAMGCATTAAAAAGCCCAGCACATGGAAGTTTTGAAAAGAGTGTGTACCATTTCATACTTTAATTTTGGAGAATTATTGGGAAACATCATTTTATTCAAAAAAGATTATGACAAAATTAGATTTAARAAAGATTAAAATGCTGTTTAGTTAGGCAAATATTATATGTAACTAACTCTTCATTTTTCTGACATTGAAGACAGTAATGAGAGACCAATATTAAAAGTACAAATTATTTTTTATAATTTTTTAAATTAAAAWTTATCAAATAGTAGCAGTTCTATTTTGTACAGAAGGCAAACCCACTGTTGAGTTAGTTGGCTCTGATACCAATGGTCTCATCAGCTCTGTGAACGTAGGGACCACAGCAAGGCTTCTTGAAGATAACAAAATCAATTTTTAGAGATTAAAAATATATAATTTGGCAATTGAAACTCACCAGTGCCTTTCTGCTTCTCCAGGAAGTTGTACCCGTCAGCACCTGCTGAGGGCTTTGTTGTCCAGACTCTGACAGGTAAAAAATTCCTGTAGAATAAAGCCAGACCAGCTGGCTTTGAAGAGAAACCCCCCAGTTAGGGCTGCGCTTGYCTCCTCTCCTTTTCTATGAAGACCGAGGCTTAGCCCCCTGATCGTCAAGCCGCGAGATGCGTGATCTCTCTGCACAAGTGTCTGGCAGGCCGAGGTGCACCTGTTCATGTCACTCTGGAGTAAATTTAGCTGTAAAGGTATCATTGACAACCAGACCTTTGTCAGTGCTGGCAAAAGAACACAGAATTACTTCCCTCCCCTCCCCCCTCCAAAGCCCCTCCACTACTAGTTCCAATGGAAAATATCCAATCGGAAGTCTATCCAAAAATCATTCCTAAAAAATGAAATTGCTTTCATATGGTATAAAAAAGTAAGTTTCCTCATTTCACACAGGCTTTAAAATTACATTTCCAAGAATAATCTTGGAACAAGACAAGTTTTTGTTCAATTAATTGTGGCTGGAAACTTTTTAATGGAAACATAGCACACACTTACTTCATTTCAGGTTATTAAATTGTGTTAAGCATTAAAGTTAGTTGCAATTCTTTGCTGTAGCTCATTTGTTCTTCTCAATCCAAAGAAATATTAGAAGGTTAAAACTTATCACATAGGAGGGATTAATCATGCTACCAAAATTAGAAAGCATGTAGCTCTGTAAGACCCAGTGTGGAAATTGTGTGCTCATAGCACTTAAACTATTGGGAATCTAGGCTTCCTCTGCAGCACTTGACATGGCAATTCATGTCTGTGGAAATCCCTGGTAGTTGGAAGCTGGCTAAAGCTAGGGTTCTCTTATTCATTGGTTAAGGTAAGGACATTTATCATTTATGTGAAATTTTCTGATGAATTTCTCTATTGGTAGCTTCGGAAAAAGTCCTTGTGGAGGCAACTAGAGAGGCAGGCAACACTCAGTAATATGTCTGAAATAAATATAGTAGTCAAGATATATAAAGCAGCCTAAGGAGTAACATTCTTAGCCAAAGCATTCTGAGCTTCTGCCTTGATAATTATGATTTCTTAAGTGGAGTTAAAAAGAGTTGTACAGAATACCTGTTCTACCCTATTATTGCTGTTTACAAGGGTTGGGTGTGATGAGTAAAAGAAATCTGGGTCAAAATAAAAAATGCTTTGTAAAATAAACAAAGTTCCTATTTACTTACTATGTATAAACAGCCACTCACCAAGCCTCATTTCTCYGCAGGGCACCACTTTCAGATAAAAACATAGACCTGAATAGCATCATCCAGTATCCAAGGAAACCATGTAAGTACCTCTCTCACTGTGTACTTCTCTTATTCAGAGTTTAAAAGCTAGCTGAGTACTGAATGAGTGAGTGTTTTTATTTAATAATTATACGGGAGGTATTTTTTAGGAGCTTGCTAAAAAGAAACAGGTTCTTGATTGTTATGTGCGTCATAACAAAACCCTTATGTTTTCATCATATTTCATAAAATTATGTGTTTAGTCCCAACCTCTCCATCAATTCTCATTCTTAGGTACAAAACAGCTACTCAAAGTTTTAATGAATTGAGAGTTTCAAACTTTTCCAAGACCCATTAGTGTCTGAAAAACCATGTTTCAGAGGCCTTGTGCCAGGATTAGTTTCCTAAGTGTAATAAAACATTTTTTAAGTTTCAAAAATGAAGAAAAAATTGGTCCGAAAAGAATATCTTACTGGTAAACAGTAATAGCAATTAATTTGGTTTTAGGCTTCTCGAGGAGTAAGCATGAGAACTGAGATGTGGTTATCTATTTAAACTCCACAGAGAATCTTGAAAGAAAGTATAATTACCAAAATGCAAATATATATTTGGGAAAAGGGTTGGGAGGCTGGTGTATTATTTYCTTTCTTTTTTTTCCCTCCAAATTAATGTACATTTCTATAGGTTATTTCAAGGTTCAAATTTATTTTCAGAAGCTATAAAATCTAATGTGGAAGTTTAGTTTCCAAGCAACACATTGTCACTCTGGAGAAAGACCCTTTACTAAAATATTTGAAATTTGTACTAAAATATTTCCTTATCTGGAATYATTATCTTTTTCATATTTGTACTATCTACCTATAAAATCAAATTATTTTCACTAGGATGTGATTATTCATGATTATTTATATACTTTTTCATGAAAATACTTATTTTTTTCTTTATGTTCAAGTAATTTAGAATTTCTTTTCTACCTTCTAGATGTACCATTTGATTTATCTGGTCTTTTAAATACAGATAGCCATATTACTTTTCACTGGGGCTTTTGAGAATTGCCTTTAAATGCCCTGTGGTTTGTGTGTTTTTTATAATATTTTCATCTGTTTTTTGTTACATGTGTCTTTCCAGTTTTCCTCTGCAGTGTAGTTCCTGGTTTAAGCATAAATGATAGAGAGAATCTTACTTACGGTTTTTGGGACCCTTTATGTTCAATCTCTAACTGCAGGAACAGAGTTTGTTTATCACATAACTATATCAAATTGCATTCTTTATGCATTTCCATGATTCTTTTTATATGTTACAAAAATGCACCTTTCTGAATTGAGAGATAAGAAGTTGTGTTAGGCTACACAATTTGATGGAACATCTGAAGGGCATAAAAACCTCTGAACCCAATAAAAATATGAGACAAGGAAGTCATGCTAGTTACAAACTTCCCAAGTATGGAGTCTGAGGCCTGACATGCTGCTATCTAAAATAGGAATTCCTTGCTGCAAAATAGAAGTTGAACTATTGCTGGCCGAAGTTGGAAGCAGGGAAGGGTTAGAATAGAGCTTTATAATGAAAGAAAGCACTAATTGAAGAAAAGACTGACTAATGATATAATTCACTATCTTGAGGAAATGGAATCATTCTCATGCAAGAAGAAAAAAAAATCTATACTGAAATGCTTGGGGCACAGCTATAACTACATCAGAATATAGATTTTTCTAGAAAAATCATTTAAATTTGATAGATTCAATTCAACCTCTTACACTAAAGGGAAAATTATTTACACACACACACACACACACACACACACACACACTCTTGAGATTCCATTCATCAGTAACTGGTCTCTCTACAGTGGACTGACATTGTTCAGTAGAACTTTTTGTGATGATGGTCATGTTGCATGTGGACACTTTCAAAATGCTAACAACTAGCCACATGTAGCCATTAAGCATTTGAAATGTGGTTAGTGCAACAGAGCAACTGAAATTGGAATTTTATTTATATTTAATTTATTACAGTTATAGAGCCTCCATGTGACTAGTGGCTATAATATCAGACAACATAATTCTAGTCTAGATCACATTTTTAAATGTGGAGAGATTAAAATCTGTATAGATATAATATTGTTGTTAATTATTTCTTATCTGCATATCATTATCATGGACTATAACTCAAATCATTAATGCTTAAAGAACAAATGTACTTCAACATTATTTAGTTGAATTTTCAAAAATATTGTCATATGATCAACTGAATTTCAGAAAGTAATATTTTCCTTTCATGAGAAATTAAAATACCCTTTTCAAAAAAATTCAATTCTTTGGTATTCTGAAATACAATATTATTTTTTTTACATTTACTTAAGTATTTGGATTATCATTGCACTAGAATTTCTCTACAACATTTTCCCAGAGATAAATGTTTTTAATATTGTTAGAAAGACATTAGATTATTGCTGTATAAGCCTAGGGTAGCAAAATTTAAAATGGCCTTTATAAACATGATCACATCAAAAAGATACTGTAGTGTAAGTTCTAACTATCATGATAAATATTTTTGAAAAGTTTAGTTACAATTTCTGTAATAAATCTTGCAAATAATTTTCAAAATGTAACCAGCCTACATAAATGCTTAATACCCTTGTTTCTCCATAGCTGATTCTGCTCCCAAAACACACATCAGAGTTTAAATCTGTTCCTATGACCTTTTTAGGCATTTAGTGAAAGTGAACATTAGGATGCATGATGGTATTTTTATAGTAATGGTGGCATGGTAATATTATAAGCAAAATAATGATTTACAAAATTATATCACAAATTTTAAATTTGCACTGATTAAAAAAATCAGTCAATTCATTTATTGAATGCTGATTACTAGTAGGACATTGAACTAGAGACCATGAAAAATATATTTTAAAATTGGTGACCCAGATGTGYGTGGTGCCACATCCCCATAATCCCAGCGGCTTGGGAGGCTGAGGCAGGGGGATCTAGAGTTCAAAGTCAGCACCAACAAAAGTGAGGCACTAAGCAACTCGGTGAGACTCTGTCTGTAAATAAAATATAAAATAGGGCTAGGGATGTGGTTCAGTGGTTGAGTGCCTGATTTCAATCCCCAGTACACCACACAAAAAAATTGATGACCCAGCATTTACCCTATAGGAGCTACATTTGTTAGACTTGGTCAACTCCTTTTGGATGGATAAGATTCAGATAAGAAGAAAGAGAAGTGTTTTTGTTTGTTTATTTTTGGAAAAACCTTGGATAAGCTACTTAGAATGCCCCTCCTACTGCAAAACAACTAGATTCTGGATAAAACGTACTTTCTAATGATTTATTTGACTTGAAGGAAATTTTTGAACATCTTCAAAGATTCTTCTTCCTCACCTCAAAACTAAAAACCAAAAAAGTGTGAATTGAAGACTGTAGTTAAGAGCAATAAATGGCAAAYAGGAAAGACAGGAATGGCCAAATGGAATGCATGGGTTATATGTGCAAATATATTGTTAAAAGGAGAGCAGTCATATGCTCTATTAGGTTTCTCAGAAACTGGTCTTATTTAAAAATAGGGAGAACCACAACCACATTTGTGGACCCACATTTTGTGTCTCATTTTATGTCTTTTCATGTGTTCAGTAAGATAATCAGGCACATCATATTGACTTATCTACTTTCAGAAAAAAAAAAAAAAGGCCTATCTTTGCTCAGAAACCAGTGTTCTATGWGTGGAGAAAACATGGCTGTTCACTAAGGAATTCTTACAAATCAGTCTTCAATATTCTTGTAAAATCCCTTGTTTGCTTTCTGTATATCTGAGAAAGTGTTTTCATTCAGAACTATGGACTGTGAGCTCTGAGACCTTAAACTCAAACTCAATTTATTCTGTATTTGTTTATGTAGTATTATTTATATTTTTACTATGAACATCCCCCAAATATTAAAAAGTGAAAATAATAGTGTAATGAATTTTGTAAACCTGCAACTCCATTCAGAAACTATCATCGCATGGATATTTTGTTTCATCATTCTCTGTCTACTTCTCACCTCCACCCCAAATTATTTTGAAGCTAATATCAAATATAACAATTTCATGTTAGTAATTCAGGAGGCATTAAAACTTTTTTAAAAAAAGTTATTTATTTATTTTAATTAGGTACATATGACAGCAGAATGCATTTTGATTCATTCTCCACATTGCAGAACAACTTTTCATTTCTGATTGTACACTATGTAGTGTTGCACCATATGCACAGTCATACATGTGCATAGTGTAATAATGTCCATCACATTCCACCATAGGAGGCCCATACCTCCTCCCTTCTTCTCCCTCCCGCTTGCCCAATCAAAGTTTTTGATACATTTTTCCCATTCCCCTTCCCCCCACATTATGGATCAGCATCTACTTATCTGAGAGAACATTCAGCTTTGGTTTTTTGGGATTGGCTTTCTTTGCTTAGCATGATATTCTCCAATTCCATCCATTTACCTGAAAATGCCATAATTTTATTCTCTTTTAAAGCCGAGTAATATTCTGTTGGGTATATATACCACAGTTTATTTATCCGTTCATCTATTGAAGGGCATCTAGGTTGCTTCCACAGTTAGCTATTGTGAATTGAGCTGCTATAAACATTGATGTGGCTGCGTTACTATATATAGTATGCTGATTTTAAGTTCTTTGGGTATAAACTGAGGAGTGAGATAGCTGGGTCAAATTGTGATTCCATTCCAAGTTTTATAAGGAATTTCTATATTGCTTTCCAGGCTGKTTGCACCAATCTGCAGTGCCACCAGAAAAGTATGAGTGTGACTTTCCCTCCACATCATTGCCAACACTTATTGTTACTTGTATTCTTAATAGTTGCCATTCTGACTGGAGTGAGATGAAAGATTAGTTTTGATTTGCATTTCTCTAATTAGTAGAGATGTTGAACATTTTTTTCATATATTTGTTGATTGATTGTATATCTTCTTCTGAGAAGTACCTGCTCAGTTTCTTAGCCCATTTATTGATTAGGTTGTTTGTTTTTTGGGTGCTAAGTTTTTTGAGTTCTTTATATATCCTAGA